AATGGATCCGAATCATATTATGTTATGAATAGATCTCAATCATACTATGTTAAGAATGGATCCGAATCAAACTATGTTATGAATGGATCCGAATCATATTATGTTATGAATGAATCTAAATCATACTATGTTAACAATGGATCCGAATCATACTATGTTATGAATGGATACGAATCATATTATGTTATGAATGTATCCGAATCATATTATGTTATGAATGGATTAAAGTTCAATTAATCTCTATTATACTTAAATATCATTGTTCCGCTACTTTCAGCGTCATAGAGTTATTTTAGTGTTATTATTAACACAATGAAGACATCTGAAAGGTAATTTGAATTAAATAATAATGACATATTTATATGGACTTGGGTTCATATTTTCGCGTACCATTTTTCAATCGGTGTTTGTGGGGTTTGTGTGGATTACAAAACACATTGTGAACTGTGTATATTTCACGTATTGGCATAGCAACACGGCGAATCTAATAATTATTTTAAATCCAGGATGTTGTTCAACTAATGTGTTTGTGAATGGGCGTATAACGATCGATGCACACAGTTGACAGGATATATATATATATATATCGTTCTTATTTGCCCCACACCCTCGTCTTGCAGACGTTAATGTGTTGTCTAGAATACTATCAATTGAACATTCCAACATGCTCCAAATAGCATGGCGTGTTGACTACGGGACTCTGACCATTTCACTCTTTACCCTATTCATGCGTAAAGTCCGATCAAAAGTACCCGTGCTTGGCCGTACGCCAAACCGCAAAACACACTCTGCTCAACCTGCGATACACGGAGCTCGCAAAACACGTGCTTGTAGAGAAAATGATATAAGACGTATCGAAAACTCGCACTCAGTTTTTGTTTCGAAAATGCTACTCGACGCTTTAACTGATTTCATTGTTGAATGTTTGTAAAAAATCAGTTTTTTGAGAAGGGAAAACGACCAGCTGGCTGGGTCACAGAATAAACTTAGAACCTGTGAAAACGGCAAAAAAATGTCTTGAAGATTACAAAACATGATTTATAACACCAGGCCGCCAAATATACCTAA